CCAAGGCGATGAAGAGTATATGTACGAGTGCTGGGATCGATACAAAAGTTTACATGGGTTAATAATTACATCAGAGCTAAGACAACTCTAAAACACATTCTCACCAGACCATTAAAGAACAGGTAAAGGGAAGAAAAGTACCTTAGGTGTTTTGGCTTTTCTACCCTTGTCACAACCATGAATCAATCTAATGATTTTGCTGGAATTAGACATGTTACTCATTTGGGACCCTACTGGTGAAGGGATAGATCCACTTTGAGTGCTATCAAAAGTGCTATCTAGTTGTTGCTTCATTATCTTCAACCTCTTGGCTTTATGTTGCCCATGTAAACCTAATAAAAAAGATAATTTATAGGGTAAAGGATGAAGAATATGAAATAAAATAGACATCCAACCATGTAATCAATGACTAAATAAAATAAGAGAAAAAAGTTACCATTGGTTCCATTAGAATCAAAATGAGAACTCTCAGGTCTCCTTTTAGAATAATTTCCCTGCATAAGAAATGTTATCTTCTTAAGATAAAGTTGATTCCGCATACAAATCTTATGAGTTTAAACATCCTCATATCTATCATAGGGAGCAGGATGTCAATCTGGACCGTCTACTAATCTGATAAAAAACAGAAAATACTAAAACGACCTTAAAGATTTAAAAGTTTTCTCAATCAAGAACACTAAACAATCCAAATTCAGAAATTAACTTAAGAACTCCAAATATATTTAAAAAAAAGAATCTCGAGCTAGGTAAAATTACACGTTTATAAGTAAGATACACAAGAACATAGAAATGGTAATTAGTCATCCAAAACAGAAGAAATTAAAATTCTCAACTATAAAATGAATATACTGTTACATTAAAGAGAGAGAAAATGATGAAACAAGAGAATTCATTTAAATCAAGACAAGATTAGCAACTTAGCATGGTGAAGATAACAAATTACCGGTTCATTATGAGTAGATTCCAGCTTCCATCTCTCATCATATGCAGAACCCTACCAGAAACACCATTCATGACCTTTACAAACAAAGGCAAATAACGGAACAATTCCAAAAGGAACAAACCCAGTGTCAATTGAAATAGAAGAATTCTGCGAACAAGATTCTTGGTTTTTTCGTCTTTTTAGGCTTTGTTGATGGTTCTTCACGGTTATATGGTAGCTGCCTTTCAAAGTCCCCTGCTGATTCAACTTCCATGTTTTTCTGGATCTGGAATCCTCCATTCAAAGTACTCTGATCATCCGGAAAAGAACTAGTATCTTCACTAGAAGCATTTGTTTTTGTTGGAGCCTGTAAACCCCCAGCAGCAGCAGCAACACAGCTAAAAGAACCTAAAAAACTCTGCCTGGAACCAGTACGCACACATTTCATTGGAATTGGGCCGACATTTAGACCACTAGAGGGCCTTTTACCTATCAAGGCTGATTGTTGAGCACAGTTCCCATAAGGCAATTCGGCACCTACTTCATATGATCTTGCAGGATATGATTTCAAAATTTTCAATGAGTTCATCCGCCTCTTCTGGTTCAGTTTTGATGATTTGCAACCTTCAAAGGCCCCAGGCAAAAGATGCACACTTGTTTCTCCTTCATCCTCATCATACACAAAGTCACCATATCCAAACTCTGAATTGAAGAAGTCATAAGGATCAAAAGACTATTCAACAACTAAGAAAATCAAAACAAAAGAAGTGTAGTGATTACCAGCTCCAGCATCATAAACAGATGTTTCAACCTCCTCTTGCACATTACTCTCAATTTTCTGGGGCAAAAATTTAATAATAAACAAGATTGAGAAGTAAAGTTCCAGCAGCTGCACTCAGGTATATATATTTTCCATGGTGACTTTACTGATGTATTTTCATATGAATTACACAAGTCCAGTAAACTATTCTTCAGATGTTCATAAAAATACACAGGATGCAAAAGAAGCATGTCTAAACTCATTAAAGGACCTACATTTACCTCCGACTGCACCAAATAAGATTCAATAGACCTTCTGTAGGTTTCCATAGCACCTGAAGGAACTGCATAGAAGAGGCTTTCCTGAAATAAAGTACATAAAAAGTTTGAGCATAAAATGTAAATATAATGAAACTATTTCCAAAAGGTTAAAACTCCAGAGTCCAGAATTGAGCATGCATATTAAACAGATACAGCCTGCGATTTAGCAAAAAGCCAAAAATAATGTGCTAATAAACTTGAAAAGCTAAGAAAATAAGGCATACTTCAGTTAGGAGTTCATCCCAAGAGCTGTCAATAATGCCCGGGTCAGATATCCTGTCAGGAGTTGCTGCTGCATCAGCTTGACGTGATGGAACAGAGGAACTGTTATATTTTAAAAATCTAAGAGCATATGACCGAATAGCAAGTTCATGGTCATTTCCAGGGTGCGCATCCTCCTTATTTGTACTCTTCTCCATAACATCATGCACAAAAAGGTGAGACACAAGGCAAAATAGTTCAAGGATCTAATACAACTAGAACATGAAAATTAAGTATTAAGCAGTTTTGCAAGAGAAAGGAACTGAAGATCAGGAAAACAAGCCCAAACAGCTCCATAGCTATCAATCAATTCCAAATATTTAAGAAAGCTTGATCTGAAATTCGAAGGCCATATGCATTTACAATTAAATATTAACTTATCCCCCAGATCCTATAAACTCAATCATCAAATACCCCCAGCAATCCAACACACTTAAAAGAAGATAGAGACAAAATTTAATGGAAATAAAAATTAAGATCCAAAAATATTATAATTAAAGAAGACCAAAATCGATTTAAATACCAAAGTTCTCAGTAAACTCTTCTCTACATTTTTTAAGTGAGTCAATTCTTCCAGATCAAGTAAAACTTCTCACACAGCAACTGAAAGATACCATGTACCAAAGAACAGACCATATAAGCAGATAACCAACGTGCAAAAAAACAGTAAATGAATTTGAAGATTTAGAAGCAACTACCACCAAGATTTAATAAGAAAATTAAATATTATATATATAATCATCAATGTCAGCACGTATAAGGACATGGATAAAATGATTAAAATTATAGACCAATAGAGGTCCATCAACATTTTTTTTATAGAAATAGGAGGCCTCATTAAAAACCTCCCTCATAGTACCATATCAAGTTCTGCATTGTTCTTGAGAAATTCATCAGCCTCCACTGAATCATAGCCATAAATTTTTGGACCAAGATTTACATCCTTTCTCTTTAGAAGGACTTCTGCTGAATGCCAGAAGTCCATGACAGCATTAGCTAGGATTAAAGCTACTTTTCTGAGTTTCCGATAATGGTTTTGTCCTTCATGTTTCAATTTTAAAGTAAAAGCAACACGGCGACAAATTTGAGAAGCAGCAGTCATCTTCCAAAGACGCTCCTAAAAGCACATAAAGCAAAAAAAAAGGACGCTTAAAGACAAAATTTCCAGTTTTGTTCTCTGGTCAACTGCAAATACATTTACACTAATTAAGTAAAGCTAACACTAAATAGTACCTGAGCAAAATCATTTGCTAACCATGCCATTTCCTCAAGGACAAAGTCCCAGTGAGAATTTTGGCGTTTTTCCATGGATAAGCTACCAACAGATAACTCTGCAATCCTTTTCCTCTTAGCCTGTTTACCATAATGCCAGACCATTTAAGCTTTTTGAAGTCAAAATAAAATAGATCAAAGTTAAGAAATCGACAATCTTATGCATATCCAGAAAAAAGACAGACACCACCTCTCTCATATGTGCCTCTTCCATAATGGAATCCTCTTGTGCCTTGTTCACCACTTTCACATGATTATCCAAACTAGCTTGAGTATCAGCAATAGCATTAGAGGTTATTCCTAACACAGTAGTCTCAGGAATCTCATAAAGAGTGTTGCCTGTTGTATCTTGAGGCTAATTAGTAGAAAGTTTTCCTTGTTGGATTTAGATTTATCACCTGGCATCACACTAACTTTCCTTTCAGCTACTAACTTTCCTTTCAGCTATTGAGAAAGTATGATTACTTCGTTGTGCCTCATTTTGCAATTCACATCTAATTTCTTCCTCCACCTTGACAATAGAATCATTCAGAGAGTGATTTTGATTCACAGGTCTACAAGTATAAAGAACAACATCACTGTTATCAACATCCTTGATTTCATTGTTCTCTTTTGCCATTTCACCAACTGCTAGGTTTAGCGACTCCTCTTTTTCAAAAGTTTTTTCCATGAGCTTTTCATTTGAATCAAAATTTTCTGGATTAGTACACATATCATTATCCTTATTTACATCTTAGCTTAAGCAGTTTTGAATGCAAGGGGACACTGAATCTAATCCCTTAGTCCCTACTGCCACACTGCTATTTTGCAATTCATTTGGCATATTTTCCCTATCTCTATTGGCATTACCAAACCTATTTAACTGATTATAACTAGTTTCATTTTCAGCTTGTGTTGCACCTTTTACGAGTGGAACATCAAGACCGGTTGAAACTATCTGCTCCTTCCCTGTCACAAGATCAGGTTCCATAGGAATCAAGTTAACTGCAGATTTATCAGCCTCCACTTGAGAAGGTTCTTATGGAGGTCATCGATCAAGCTTGTGGAAACTGTAACAACAACCTTGCTTTAGAATATATCACTTTTTGATTGATTAATTGTTTCTTCTGGAGCCTGGACTCCATCCAACTCCATACTAAACTGATTATCATAAGCTATCATGAGCAGGGTATGTTCTTTCCATGTTGGTTAATTGCATCAGATGTCAGAGACTTCACATCCTTTGATGCTACATGAGCAGGTAAAGAAGGACCATGACCACCTCGACCCTGAACAATATCGTTTGGACTTGACCGCACTCCATCTTGATTTAATTTGGACCTATTCCTTCAAGCATATGGGCGAAAATAGCAGAATCTTCTGATTGTTTGGTATTGCAGGCACTATCCATCCGAGAAGATTGCTCAGATGGAACAAAGGTATTCCTCTTAAGAGGATGCATAGACTTCTTTTCATCTTCAGGCAACCCATTTTCACCAGCAAAAAGTGAGAGATTGTCTGCACTATTGGTTTCACAAACTTGAGGAATCCCTGGTCTTAGACTACTCTCTATGGAATCACCATGAGGTGAGGCAGTGAGTGCAAAACTATCTTTCGCATCACTGTAACAATTATGGACAGGGAAGCGTTAACTGATGCTTCAATTCAATTCAGAACCATAGTACAGTAACACACAACAACAGTAACTAAATGTTCTGCTTGCTGATCAGTGAGAGAAGTATTCCGGACACTAACTGACACTGCATTGCCAAATTTAAAATCCAAGGGATTGCAACCCTGGCAGCATTATGCTTTATGATGAATATTAATTATACAACTCAAGATAGGAATAGGAGATAAAAGTGCATACTTTCTCAGGAAGCTCTAGTTCCCTTCCCCTCTCCTCACGAACATCATACTCCTGCCTGTTATAGACAAAAGTGAAAAAAATGAAAGAAAATGAGTTTTCTTGTACTTAGGAATGTGAACCAAGTGCATCATTCTTGAATATCAGAGGAGTGTAGTGAAGTGGAACATAAGTATCACCTAAGCTTTGCTTGAGCCTTCTCAATAGCTGCTCTACGCGGTGAGATCTTGACACCAACGCCAACTCTGCCGTCAACAACCTCTCCCATAAAATCAACCTCAGCATTTAAAATTTCAGATCCTGAATTACATACATGCATCCCTACCTAAAATTTACAGGCTGACCCCTCCAATTGAAGAAAAAAACACTAGTAAACACCTACATAAGATATTTGGAGGGGGTAAAGAATCAGAAAAATAACTAGACTGCTAAGTAAATAGAGACTACTCAAATGATAAAATTGAAATACAATAATTATTTCCCATTTGTTGCAATGGAGACACCTTTGTAACCACATAAAATATGAATTTTATTAATTCACTTAAGGTTCAAGTTTGTAACAGTTCAGAATCACACAACTGATCACAAACTGATAATTCACTTAAGATAATAAAAAAAAGGAACCTTTCCAGAAGCAAAAATATTCCAAAATCAACACCAAAAAAATAAGGTAGAAACTCCAAACAAATGGATATAATACATGAAACAGAAGAACTATGCCTGAGTGTATACGCTGTTTACCATAAGAAGGATCACTGTGGAAAGACTTTTCCTGGAAAAGAACAAAATGTATGATATAATAACTTCCACTGGAATAGGACCAGCAATGTTATTCCAAATGAGTGACTTTCTGGCAAGTTAAGGAACTAATACTTTATTTCTATTCTCTCTTAGTTGTCACCTGTCGGATGCGGCAAAAAGGGGTCACATAAAATAGGTCATAGATAAAACAATGATGCATATTGCTCACTCTTAATTTCCCACTATTGCACAGTAGTTTCAAAGCAACTGAATATAATCAAATTCTCTCAAAAGCAATTAAAGTTCAATGAACACCTAGTATCTATGAAAAATTGAGAAATGTAATAATAAACTTGCATAGGGAGAGAGGTTGACAATAAGTTTTGGGCAGTTAAATAGCCCCACAATGAAATGCATACCTGCCACTAAATAGAAAACTGAACTCAAAGCTGAATTACACTAAAGATTTTATCACTGGCACACAATAAGTGTATGCATATGCATAATAAAATGATAGCATGTAAAGAAGTTGAAAATTCAGTAACTAAACATTATAATGTAGAGACTGGTGAGCCTCCCATACATTTTAACTTAGTATTAGAAGACCACTTACCACGTAAATCCATCAGCACTCAATCGAAATGCGTATGACATACCACAAAGAAACAAATGGAAACCCTAAATGTATTAAATCAAAGAAAATGTGCCCTGATCTCAATTTTAAACACTACTAAAATTAGAGGGTTTCCAAAACAAAATTTTAGCGCGAAAATAACCTGAACCTGGATACTGAGTCCAATAATGGGCAGCTAGGGCAAAGCACCAGGGAACATCGGAAACGTTCCCGCTCCTTTTAACACTCTCGTGACCTCTTTATCTCTCTCATATCTTTTGAAGCTTCGAGCCCTCCTTCAACGTCTTGAACTCAATCAAAACGACATGAGTTGACCCGAAATTACGACACCTCCCTGCAATTGCCAGCCATGACCATGAGCACGTGGCCGAGTCCCTCTCTATTAATACCTTTGTGTAAGTTTTTTCTTCTTCCGTTTTCGCTCTCAAGAGAAAGATAAAATGGCGGGTTTTTTTTTCAGTGAATAATGGGCCTGGCTTTTACATTATTAAGGAAGACGACGAGGATAAAAGGCCTTTGATTGTTCTTTCGTTCATTTGGGCTTTTTAGTTACTTTGATGATTTGTTTATTTACAATTATGAATTTACCATTATTTTTCAAAAATATTTTAAAGTAAAATTATTTATTTTATTAGATTAATTAAAGTTTAATTTTTTTATTATTTATTTATTATAAGGATGATTATTTGACCGATTATAATTGATTTTGATCCGACTAGATTTGATAGAGTTAATTTTTTTATTATTTTTATTATTTTTATATATGGACAAAAAAGGAGAAAGGGCACTTTTGAAATACCATGTAAAGAAGGGGCTCAAAATTGCATATTTACCAAGAATTTTGGAAGCGTAAAATATAATTTATTAATGTAAGGTTAATAAATAGTAGAAATCGGTTATAACAAAAAAATATTATCAATAACGTAATTTTTTAGGTTAGATGGTGTAACATTTTAGGTTAAACTGAAAATATTATATTTTCTTATAAGTTTTTCGATTGTAATTGAAAATGTTATAAATTTATATTTTTATATATATTTTTTGTTTATAAACCTTAAAATCACTGTGATATAACATTATAAGGTTAACATGATAATATTCAAATTAAAAATCACCTTAATTAGTCGCTGCTCAACAAAATCATCCCAAAGTCCAAGCGAAAACCTTGAAAATTGTAAAACAGGAAAGGTGGGATTGGTGATTGACTCAAGCACCTCATCCTCAATCCTCAACAAACCCCCCACGGACCCATCAAAGTCGTTTTTTAAATATAAGTCATTAAATTATACTTAATTAATAATTTTAATTATTGAAATTTGAAATTTTAGAAAATAATCATTAACATTTCAAAAAAAATAATTAAAATTTCAAAAAATAGAAAATAATCATTAAATTTAGTATGATAAATTTAATGATCATTTTGTAACTTTTAAAGGATAAGTGACCAAAAGGATCATTTTAGTATAGTTAAGTGACCACTGATGTACTTTATCCTTTTTGTTTTCCACGATGGCTCACATTGTCCTTACCAACCAAACCTACTCTATTGTTTCCTTTACTTTATTAGTTTTTCCTTTTTTATTATTCAATCCTACAGCTGACAGCACACACAGTTTATGCCAACCATAAGACAAAGATAATTAATTCTGGGTTTAGTGTGATCAGCAAATTTGTGCTCTTCTTCATCTTCTTCTTCATACAAGCAAAAAAGAAGGGGGAATGGATGGGGAAAGAAAGGTCTACACTTTGGCTGAGGTTTCTCAACACAATCATGCTAAAGACTGTTGGCTTGTCATTGAGGGAAAGGTGAACACTTCTTTTATTCAGTAGATATTTCATTGATAACCTTATTTGATTGATAGGTGTTTTGTCTGTTTGAAATTTGATTTGATTCTGATCATAAGAAACTTTTGAATTTCAATAGATGGATCTCTCTTAGAGGCTGACAGCTTATATTCACTGCATATTTGACTGAAAGATCCCCCCCCCATTTGTGGATTATTTGTCAGATTCAAAACAATCATCTTCAGTATCAAAACCAATCTTTTGCTTAGATCTCTCACTGTTTTTCGATCCTTTTGACTGCCGGAGCTGCATGCAAGAATAGGCCCTTTGCTATTCAGTTCCTTGGATTTGCTTACTTATTAGCTTAATATGGGATTGTTGGTTGTTGATCACACCGTTGCCATTAGATTTTATTTCACCCTTAAATGCACTGTATTTTTATGAATTCCCATGATGGACTCTATTCGTTGTTGGTAATAAATTTCATTAGGAGAGCCTGGAAGTTGTGTGTATTACCCATCGATTGGCAGAGTACTTGTTGTCCTTGGCATATGAACGTTTCTGTTCGGGTTCCTTAGTTTTTCGCTTAATCCAGACGAGTGGTTTTGGTCATTGATATGCTGCTTCACTGCCATTAGATTTAGTTTTCCCTTAAATGCAACAAGTAATATGCAAGTTGAGGGATAGTCGTGTGTATTTTCCCACAATTTGCAGAGTACTTGTTGCTCATGGACATGTAAGAATATTTTCATCATCGATCTGCCTTTTTTGTTCCATTTCTTTGAGGGCTTAAAAATTGGCTTTGGTGTTTTAGGTGTCTGACATCTTTTTATTGATGATTAAGTTGGAGAATATGAGAATCGCAGTAATGATAATATTCACCCCTTGCAGTATCGTATTTGTTAGTAGATGTGTTTTGGATGAGAATGACGTGGAAAATTTGTGTATATTGTCTCCATTCTGTGCTTGTGGTAACATGAAGCACTGTTCAACTTCAGATATCAATATTACCATTAATGTGATTGCTAAGTCCTATTCTAGAGTCAGCTATATGCATTTATCTGGGTCGAGCATCATGCTTTACATTTGCATTTATCTCATAAAAACTCCGTATCTTATATTTGAACAGGTATACAATGTGACCAAATTCTTGGAAGACCATCCCGGTGGTGATGATGTCTTGCTGTCTTCCACAGGTACAACATATGTCCACAAATTTTCTACTTGTTTTGTGTAATCTGATGTCGGAGACATCTTAAACAGTTGGTTTGATGTATGGTTGGGCAGGGAAGGATGCAAGTGATGATTTCGAGGATGTTGGTCATAGTAGCAGTGCTCGAGCAATGATGGATGAGTTTTACGTGGGTGACATTGATACATCAACCATCCCCTCTAAGACAAAGTACACTCCTCCCAAGCAGCCTCACTACGACCAAGACAAGACCTCAGAATTTGTTGTAAAGCTTCTGCTATTCCTCGTTCCCCTGCTAATCTTGGGGTTGGCCTTCGGTGTCCGCTTCTATACCAAAGCACCAGCTTCGTCTTAAGCATCGAGACCCCGAAAATGAATTCAAACAGGCTTCACTATAAAACTTTTATGTTGGTTTAAATTTGTTTGAACTTTCACATACTGTGGGATGGTTAATGGTTGGATATTATTATTCAAACATTTGTTTCCATGCAGCTGAAGCTTTGATTCGTCCCGGATTGTGATAATTTGATATTTGTCTTTTCTCCTTGTGTTTGTTCAATTTCTCTCTTTTCTATGGCCAGTTTTTGACATGAATGCTCATTCATCATGCTAATGACAAGAATGTCTGCAAATGAACATTTTTTTTTACATACAGTAAATTCTGCAGGAAAATTCTATACTATATCCGAGTTGTTTTCTACAGAGACCACTTGCAATCAGCGAAGAACCTTGAAGAACTATGTCTTCTCAGTGCAAATAAAGGCATGTGATTTTAATTACTCACTACTGGCTTGAGCATGTTCTCTCAATCACCTTTGAATCTGTTCTGTAGGATTGCCTCGAGGGAGAACTCGAAGAACCTTGTCCGAAGAATCGTAGTTTACCGATTTTCCTCGAGAAGGAACTCATAAATCTACGAGAATGAGACTTTGCCATGTTTTTCTTCATATAAACGTGTTCCTTCTCTAGATCATTTAGTCTCATCCGAATACGAGAGAGCTCGAGTTTTAGCTCCCGGTTTTCTCGTCTCAGAGACGCGTAGTTGTCTCCAGGAGACATTGCTGCACTGAGTGCTCCGCTGCTGATCCGCCATGATTGGTGGTGATGCACTGACTTGGTATCATAATCGACACAAGAGCAGCATAAAGCATTTCGTAGCCTTAACTGCTCGAAATAAAGAACTTGGATCATTGATTGGAGGGGAAGTCGTTCATTTTGTGCAGCATGTGCACCAGCTTCTTGTGAGAGCTTTTGGAAATCAATCAGTTTGCATAGTTTCTTCTTGTCTGCTTCCTGTATACCCTGATGAGCCTGAACATGCATTCATTATAAAGTTAAGAGAGTTACAGATGAAGGGATGATGACAAGTAAAAATCTCAAATGCAGTTTCGAATCTTATTCCACAACAGAAGAATTATATATGTTACTGAAATTCAGTGTTAGTGGTGGATATCGATTAATCGGTTGTCGGTTGTCTCCAACACGAATAAATTGAAGAAGGTATCAGCGTGCATACTTTCAGGTATATATCGATCGCTCGATATAGGCCATCATGGATGGTACGAGCATGTGCAGGTAAAGCCTCCGCAATTGCCATAAACTGTGCAAGCTTGACTTTTGCATCAGGAGCAATTTCTGCAAGATAGTTATCCACTAGTTTCGAAACTTTTAGTAATTCACTTTGGGATGGCGAATGAGGACTATCGGATTCGAAAATGGATACATCGTCCATATCATCAACATCATCTTGCTGAGAAAAATTTACCAAGATTCTATGAACCGTATCGACATCGAATAAGGTCTCACGTCCGTGCTGAAAAGACGGTATCAAAAGGTCATTGAGAGTTGCAATATCTAACTGAGATCCGATCCTTCTCTCTAGATCAAGCCTACAAGCAATACTGCAATCGAGCATCACGGCACTTCTAAGGAGTCCAAAAAGGAAATTTACAGGAACAGCAAGTTTCTCATTAGGCAACAGGCTGATGATTGTCTCGATCACCAGTCTTTCGTGCTCTGTCGAAACCGAATCAAGTTTCTTCTTCAGCTCCTTTTGCACATAATTCACAAGGGATGCGCCGATACTCTCGGGACGAACACCACGGCATCTCATGGCAATGATGATCCTTTGATACAAATCGATCTGAATAACTGAAAGATTTTCTATCCACCAGTCACCCTCGCATTTGGCTTGTCTGTTCACTTGAAGTCTACCTGAATCGCTGTACTCCAACTGGGAGAAGCTCAACGCAATTTGCTCGACACAAGCCTTCGAGGCTATTGCATCAATGCAACGACCGACTATTTTCAACTCATCTGCAAGAGGAAGTAGATTTTCACATTGTTGCAGGACTTCAACACACATCTCCAGGTTCTTGCAAACAATGCTTTCAAGATATTCTTCAGCACGTGAACCAAGGTTATCCTTCGAGAGCTCCTCGGTCATGTCGAGGTAATCCGAAACACAACGGAGTGGAGCCACATTTAAAGATGTAACTTCAAAGTTAATGCCATAACAGAATTTTGCAGCCAACTCAAATGACTCGACGCCTCCAGGTAGATTCAGGAGCTCCACCTTCGGGATATGAGAGTCCAAATGTTCTGCAACCAGCTTTCGGATTCGGCCGCTTCGAGAGACGAGAGGAAACTGCAAATAACAATCATAATCATCAAAATTAGAACATGGTAAACATCAATCTATTTCTCTAAAATCATATGGATCAATTTTCAGAAGTAAAGAACCAAATTACCTTGTGTAGAGCAAATGTCACCCCATTTACTTCTATTGTGATATCACTTGGAACACCCCGGAAAATCCTACAATTAATAGAAAGACCACTTTGAATATGCAAGAGAAAAAGATTAAAAGGACAAAAGGAGAGACCCTTAAAGAAGTCATTCATAGTCCTCAAAGAAAAAGATGAACGCAAATAGCTGGAAGATAAATGAATATAGTAATTAACAGCAAAGATTTTGAGCGGCTGAGTATAAAACTTCAACCAAAAGGTGATCTGGGGATGTGATTTTTTAGTGAATATTGTTGGTAGTACAACTAGTGGATGGAGGTTGGTCATGATCAATTACGATTTACTTCTTTACATTTAGAAAAAATATCGTTGAAGTAAATAACAAAATGTCGGTTGATAGTTATTTATTTTTTTGATTTGAATGAAAAATCGTTAAATAATTAATAGTGATCAGAGAACAAGAACATGGATTTCCCTTACCCTTTCACAAGAGAAGAGGGAGAGTTTGAAATATCTTTTTTTCTCCTCCCTCAGGAGAGAAGAAATCTTCTTATATATTTTTGTCTCTAATATCACGAGAGAAGAGGGATAGTATGACGATTGAACATGTCGAATATACTTTCACTCGAGATGAAAGGTACAACGAATATCACTTCTAAATGAGGAACAAATATAAAAAGAAACTAGAAACTCAATAATTCAATGCACCAAACACAAAATAAGTGAGAGAAAAATCAAAGCTGTAGGAACTCGTTAAAGAAACACTAATGCTAGAATAGAACTTGTACCATTCATTACAACGTTGCCCGGAACTCTTTGCCAAAGACAGCTGCTGCTGCTGGTAGTGCTTTTCCATCGACAGAGAAAGTGAGTAAACTCGGGAGAGAAAAAACTGGAAAAAATTAAGAGAAGTGGAGAAATAAAGAAAGGAAGAGAAGAAAAGAAAAGAAAAGCTTGGGGGTGAAGCGAGAGAGACAGAGACAAAGACATAGTCTTATTAGTTAACTTCTTTGCCCATCTTCTGTCAAACTGCTGATCTTCACATTTTTGGATTGTTCATTTACACTAATATTACTCTTCTTTTCAGGCTTCGCTTTGGGTGGAGATATAGAAAATCACATTGTCAAAACAACAATTCTTCTTTGATCGGTATTATAAGAAAATAAAATCATATAAGCATTCATCTATTTAGAATGAGACGTTCAATTTTTAAAATAAGATTAAAAGTTTAAATTTTGATATTAAATAAAATAAGTTAAATTTTAAAAAACAACTCTATAATAAAAATTTATAATATTCGATCCAAATTAATCGATTGATAAATCAAATATTAATAGAAAAATGATCGAATATGTTAACTGTGGATCTTTTTAATTTGAAAAGTCAAAATCTCATTAAAAAAAATAGAAACACAAGGAGCTGTAAGCTTTGGACATTCTCCGCATGCTTTTGCTTTGCTTTGTTTCCATTCCTGTTTCTCATCAAAAGCATAAAAATAGTATAGTTTTAAGGTTCAAATATTTAAATTGTGATAAAAACCAATAAATTTATGAAAATAATCGTAATAAAATATTCAATTTAAATTAATTAATTAAATTCAATATCAACATAAAGAAAGAAAGCATAAAAACAGTGCCAATGGGCGTTATTTTTATTTTGGGTCTTGGAATCACTATTTAAGATAAAGATATAAAATTAATTCTAAAACGAATAGCATAATTAGTTTAATCCTTATTTTGAGTTTTAGAATTAATTTTCTATCTATATAAAAATTTGATTAATGTATCTATTCATCCAAAATGTATCAATCAAAGGGAAAAACGGTCCAAAAGGCAACTCCATTCCTTCGATAATTTATTTTTATTTTGTTATATTAGATAATAACAATACAAAATTCAACAACTGATTACCACAGCATTGTACTATTATTCCCTATTGTCAATATGTTGATTAAATTAACTTGATTTATTGAATTAAAAAATAGCAAATTGTTTCCTTTAGATTTCATTTTCAACAATGACCCAAGGGGGCGAGTTACTTTAACGGACACTTCCGGAACATGATACATGTAACAAATATATTTATAATAGGGTTAACTGCAGCATACATTTTCAAACTATAATCTTTATTTTAAATTAGTCCCTAAACAAATTAACATTCTAGTTTTATCTATAAATTATGGATCTCTTTCTAAATTAATCCCTAAACTTTTGGATGTTCCAAATTGATCTCCAAACTATGCCATTCATTTTAATTTGATCCTCAAACTTTTAGTCATCTCAATAACACCCCTCGAAATCATACAAAAGTTTAGAGATGAAATTAGAATATTGAAAAGATTTGGGACCAATATAGAAGGAGGGCCATAATTTGGGGATGAATTAGGAATGTTCAAAGGTCCACACATTCATATTGAGCTTATTTTGTTTCTATATACACACATTCATGCAAATACATACAAAATACTTCAAATAACACCACCATCCTTGCAACTTGAGCCTGAGGCACTGTAAAGGTTCTACCACCAGGGGAGTGCATTCAAGTCGGTGTAAGCGCTGAAACCTGTGTTCTGGGGTATGTCTCTGATTGAATCTGCCCGGAAGCTTAGGCCGAGTAGCATTGCAATCTCCACAAAGGTCAAATCCCATTTTCTCTGTACAATCTATGCATTTGTATCTATCCCCAATTATTGGAGACATCTGCAGGAACAAAACTCAACTATTATTTCCACCTGCAGAATTTGTTTCAAAACAATTGAATAACAAATATTACCAATCTCCTACTTCATCAATTGCCAACAACTAGATGCAAGCATGACATTCTGCTAAGAAATCTCACTGAAATTGACGATGCCTTCATATATTGCCTGATGGTATGATTAGATTGGACTATGTTTCTCTGACTCGTTGTTTTTAAGCTTTCATGTTTGACGCATACCAAGACCTAGGTATGAGGATATGACTTGGAAAAAATTGAAAAGCCTCAGTGTCGAACACATATCCACATCTAATACTCATACCCGAGTCCAAGCAACATAGAGTTCAGTAAATGCATTAGCTCAAGAAACATGTTTGCTTGAAAAGCGCTAAAAGATTTCCATAAACACTGCCCTAAAGAATAAAACGCCCTCTTACAATTTTTAAATGTCCAGTAACTATCAACAGACATTAACTAATGAGTGTAGAAAAAGAAAAACAAGAGAAAAATAAAACAAACGTGCATATATATGCACTGGTACTCTGAATTTCCATTAGAGTATTTACAAATAATTTAAATTAGTAACACAATAAGTAATATAAGTTATGAGAGAAAATAAAGGATTGCAACCTTTAAACTCCTTAGAAGCATCCATGTTATTTAAGGAGAGAAATGAGAAAAATAGAAAAAAGGTAGGGGCAAGCAAAACTTTTTAAAGATAATTGGTGTGATATTGGAACATAAATGCAGCATGCACTTGTATACGAGACACTGAGCAAAGCATTACCCCACAAGCATCGCAACCAACTCCTACATGTTTATATGAGCTAGCTTGAACAGAGGAAGGAAAACGACCACTTGAGGGCAGTTCGAGAGGTTTGAAATCTAATTTACTAGCTTCCACGGAACCTGAAAAATTAAAGCATAATTAGTCCAAACTCGCAGACGAATCAAACTGATGCAGCCAGTTCTTTTAGAGATCAATATCACCAATATGTAAATGAATTGTGATAATTGAATCTGTAACCATATGCCTCATTTTTAGGCTTAAAAATATGGCAATAAACCTATCAACATGAAAAAGTTTGGAAGTTGGAAACAATGATATAATCAGCTATCACTAAGTCAACCAAAATGTTAACTTTGATGGACCTACATAACAAGGTGGGATCAACAATGCAATGATACATACAGATGGTTGCTCTATCATGCTTGGAAGAGACTTGCTTGAGCAGAACAGAATCTTTTCTTAGAGCATATTCATTGGGAAATTGAGCCGCCAAAAACTGATCAAGAGTCAAGCAGATATTTGGAAAACTACTTGGATGCAAGCATTGAAAAACTGGGCATCTAAGCATCTCATTGGCAGGGAAGATGATGCAAGTTTGACAGTAAACTGAAAAGAGAAAAGATTAGTCTATAGATAACAGGAAACCGAGGCTTTGTGATGCTAATTAACAAAATTTTGCACATGCATACTATGACCACAGTTAAGAACAATAGGACGAAAAAGCAATTGCTTGCATGCGGTACAAAGCAAATCCGCAACTGAAATCCGATCCTTTTCTTCCCCTGCAACAGGTCTCATTTGACTAAGTTCCTCTATGTCGGTATCAGCCTGTGATTCACATTTGTGATCATTAAACTCCGGAGAGAAATAGCCAACTCTCTTTTCCTCCTCTGCAGCATACAAAGGCAACAAGATATTAAGCTTCACAATGTACAACAAACATATCCCTTATCTGTAAAGACAATCCACTACCGAGAAGCCTGACAAACATAAGCAGGATGATTCAATGCAAAATTGGATCCCAAATTAGTGATATCTAAAAAGGACAACTTCATTAAATAAAATCTCCCTGTTGAAAGTTATGCTAAACAGCAATATTTTTTGTTTTAACGACTCTCACTTTATTTTCTCTGTAATTAACAACTAACCGAAAAAATATTTCACAAACACAGAATCGAAGAGAGGAAATCGATCTTACCTAGAGTTTGGACTTCCCTTTTATTGTATATAATCGGATATAACTTTAACAGCAAGAAATGAAGTGTTTGACAAATTCCAGGAAAGTGAGAGTATGGATTTCTACAAATTGGACAATGAGACTCGTTTTGAGAATTCATTGATTTGTGAATGCACCAGAAACATGCTATATGACCACAATCTGCAATTTTATGGAAAAGAAAATTAATAATCAACCAAACGATAATCGGACAAAATAAAAATCATGAAAATTCTAAATTAATTCTATGAAACAATCAAAAGGAAATATAAATCAAATCTTACGCAGAACGATTGGCTTGTAAAGAAGATCCCTGCAAAATAAGAACACGGATGAAACTAACAGTATCGGAATTTTCGAAAACAAAAACAAATGGAAACGACAAGATGGGAAGAAGCGTTGTTTTATTATTTTATTACTATTTACTTAGAAGCAAACGCAACAAACGAAATGGTAGGGAATTTCTTCAGAGTTAAGAACATCGAAAGCGTCGGGAGATTGACATTCTTCCATGGGACAAATCTGAAAGGAATCTATTAACCTTCCTTCCACTCTGAAATTTGGAGGGTAGTTGATAAACCGACTCTCTTCTATCCTATTCTTGCTTTGTATATCTATGCCGTCGCCTGGATTTTTCTGGACCTATTATTTTATTTTATTTTTTTAGATAAATAACCAGAAAGAGTTCATACAAAATTCAAGAAAAATGGTCAAAAGACCACTATATAGCAAATGGTTAATCTATATTCCAATTGTTATAAAGAAGTATATTTACATTGTCAAGTCTATTAATATCTATGTTTCTGAGTTGAGCACCAACAATATCTTTAATGGAACTAAACATGTTTTCTATAGTTTAAGTTTTTCCTTGAAATATGCATATGTTTCTCTCCTCTAAAATCGTGTAAATAAAAGCAGTTCATGCAATCTTCATAATTGAAGTTAAGAGAGATTTACCTTTTCAAATTGAGTAAACCCAAGCAAGCTTAATTTCCCATGACATATGAGGTTTGGACCTAAGGGTAAGATTCAAGATATCATTCCAAAGAGAAGTAATCATAATGTAGTCTGCAAATAAATGGTCTATTGTTTCAAGAGCATCATTACAAAGAATACATTGACCATTGGTGACGAGTCTCATTCGTAAGAGTCTCTCCCTAGTTGGGAGTCGATCAAGGGAGTTGATCAAGGATAGCTAACCAAGCAATAACACTGAATTTGGGAATGTGAATGGGAAACCAAATTAGCTTTTGCCACGGGACTTTATCATGCTTGATTCGAACTTCTTCCCAAATCCCTTTAGCATTCGTAATTCCAGCATTAAGAATGGGTAAGGCCTCGGTTTTCAGTTTCAAAAGTTTTTTGAAGATGTAACTAGAAGAAGGACTCGTTGACATTTGGAAAAAAAATCATTTGATTTAATTACATAAGCATGGGTCCAAGCAATCCATAAGGAACCTTGACCAGCTAGAAGGTTTCGAATAAGCAGAATCATGCAGACCTTGTTCCAAGATTTTAAGTCCTTTAAGCCTAGCCCTTCTTCAGACTTTGGTTTGCATAAACTACCCCAACTTACCCTTGCTCCAAAGGCTGAAGTGTCAGAGCCTCTCTATAAGTATCTCGAGCATAGTTGATTAATTCTATTAATAACAGTTTGGGGAAGCAGGAACTGACGACACCAAAAATTTGCAATGTTATGTAAGACAGTTTTAATGAGTTCTAACCTTCCAGCATAGCTTAAGTGCCTTCCAGACCATTGGTGGATTCTAGATATGATCTTATCAATCAGGGGGAGCAATCCTTAACAGAGAGTTTCTGAGAAACAAGAGGAACCCCGAGATATATCACTGGTAAAAGACCGATTTTAAAACCAGTAGAGATCTTGATGATTTCAAGACTCCTTTGAGAAATACCCGCTGCAAAAATTTTAGATTTAGCCACATTTAGTTGAAGCCCAGAGATTTTCATAAAATTTATGAAGAACATAAATAACTATAGCAATAGACTCTATATTTCCATTGCAAAATATGAGAAGGTCGTCAGCAAAAGCAAGATGAGTGAGTCTTATTTTTTTATATTTAGGATGATAACCGAATAATCCTCTGGCAACAGCAAGATTAAGAAGCTTGGAAAGGATGTTCATAGCAAGAACAAAGAGAATGGGGGATAATGGATCTCTCTGTCTAAGGCCTCTATCACCTTTGAAATAACCAATCAATGAACCATTGAAAGAGATTGAGTATTTTGCTCCAGCGTAACAAGTTTCAATCCAAGAAATGAAAAAAGGAGGCAAATCAATAGCTTTGAGAATGAAAGAAAGGAATCCCCAGTCAAGAGAATCAAATGCCTTTTGAAGATCAATCTTGATAGCACACCTTGGAGAAATAGATTTTCTCCCATAGCCTTTGACAAGATCTTGAGCTAGTAGAGTATTGTCAATAATATTTCTTCCCTTAACAAAGGTTGTTTGGTTAAGAGTGATTATGTCAGGAAGAATGATTTTCAGCCTTTGAACAAGAATCTTAGTAATTTCCTTGTAGACCACAGAGCAGCAAGAGATGGGTCTATAATCTTTAACCTTGCTAGGATTTGTGATCTTCGGAACCAGAGCAATTATTGTAGAATTGAAGGTTCGTAAAATGAAAGAGTTCTGAAAGAAGTATTTTACAGCATTAATCACATCTTCTCCAACCACTGACCAAGTAGATTTAAAGAAGAAAGGGGTGAAACTATCCGGGCCAGATGCTTTATCATTTCCTTGGCTGAAAAAAGCATCCTTAATCTCCTCATCAGTGATATTTTTTTCCAATTCTGCTGAAGCCTCATGAGACAGATTGAAGTGAAGCAGATTTTTTAAAACAGTAGGGTCAGTGTCTTTAACATTAGAATAATCATTCCCCAACTGTTTTTTAAAGAATTAGATTACTTTGGATGCCATATCAAATTCTTCCAGTCTTCTGCCTTGATCATTCACAAGAACTCTAATGGTTTCTCTATTGTTCTTAGAGGCAATGATAGAGTGAAAATACTTAGAGAATTTGTCACCCTCCTTGAGCCATTGAATTTTAGCCTTCTGTTTTAAGAACAGATTTTCAGCATGCTCAAGAGAGGAGAGCTCATTTTGAATAATAAGCTCAGATTCAATAGAAGACATTCTGTTAAGGGTAGAGAGCTGAATTTGTTCAAGTTCCATTTTCTTAAGCTTAACCCTATCCGAAATATTGTTGTAACAGGCCTTGTTTAAATTCATCAAGCAAGTCTTAAGATTCTTTAGTTTAAGGAAGAGAGACAACATTGGATTTCCTTGCGAAGTTTGTTGTCAGGATTTTTTTATCTCAGTAAGGAAGTTAGGGTTCTTGGTCTAGAAGTTAAAAAAATTGAAAGGTTTAGGCCGATTAGTTTGGGAGTCTTTGTTTAGCCAACAAATAGCCATACAATGGTCAGAGGGCACTGGAGCAAGGAATTCCACAAAGGAATTAAGAAAGGAATTGACCCAAGAAGAGTTAACAAGAACTCTATCTAATTTCCTAGCAAGATAGGAATCCTTCTGTTTATTACTCCATGTGAATGTTGATCCAAAGAATGGGTGATCCTGAAGAATAAGGTCATGGATTGTGTCTTGGAAATCTTTCATTTTATTAGAAGTATAATGACCCAGAATGTCATGGTCAGAGCTTTTAACAGAGTGAATAAAAATATTAAAATCACCCTTAGGATCCAATACAAGAATCAAGGTCTTTTAAATGATGCCAAAGATGTTTTCTTTGAGTACCATCATTGCTGCTATATATGGCTGAGATAAAAAAAGGAATCCCATTTCTAAGGTCTCTAACAGTGATGCTCTGAGCAGTATACTGATAAAGAGATAAATCCAAGCCTTTTTTCCATAGAAACCAAATCCTACCATTAGAAGCATAATCATAATTTGTGAAGCAATTCCAAGAGCTGAATTTGAGGTTTAGAATATCTTCAAATTTTCCTGGTTTTACCCTGGTCTCTAATAAACAAAGGATATCAACTTTAAAAAGAGTGGCCCTATATAGAACCTTGTTATGTTTAAGAGGATTATTCAATCCTCTGACATTTCAGAAGCAGAAAATCATTGAGAAGTAGATGTTAATTCACCCCCAATTACTTTGTCAGAGACACATTTTAACTTGTCAAGATGTTCCTTTTTTTAGATTTGAGATCTTTAATTAGTAGAGCCACTCCCAAAGCAGCAAACCTTGGTTTTTTGCTGTGAATCTCTAAGGAAGGAGATGAATCATCTACAGAATTTAAGACCTCGAATCTGTTTGAAGAACCTTTAAAAGAAGTCTTGTTATTTGTTTTTTGAGGATGACCCCTTCCTCTTTTAGGGACAATAGAAACTTTGGTAGCATTTCCAGAAGGAGAAACATTTTGTTATTCAGAAGAGTTGATTTGATGTAGATAAATTTTTGAAGTATTTTCATCCCCATTAGAGAGATGATGAGGCTCATTTAAATCAGAATGGTCATCTTTAGTATTGATATTTAGAGACAAATAAATTAATGAAGTATTGCAGACTTCATTTGTAACAGGAGAAGAGCTATATGGATTATCCTTAGCAGCAGTATTAGATGGAAACAAAGATGAAGTATTGCTGATCTCATTAGAAACAGGAAAAGAAAGATGATGATCATCCTTAGCAGCAAGATCAGAAGTAGGCAATGAAGTGCTAGTTGTTTCTTTTAATGGTTATTTATCTTTGAAAGGAATCTCATTTTTTTCTTTGAAACCAGAAGATAGTGGAACTGAGGTAGATTGCACAGTAGGAAAAGAGACACCCTTTTTTCTCCAGATTTATAGGTTAACAGGAGCTGGGTATTTAGAAACTAAACAAGCTTTCTCATAATGACCAAATTTGTTACATTTTAAACAACTATAAGGAAGCCAAGGAACTTCAAAATAAACAATAGTTGACTGCCCATTAGCAAGGATAACTTCAATAGTTTTAGGAATAACATCCTTCACTCTAATCTCTACACAGATTTTGGCAATCTCTAACCTAGATTTTGAGACAGTAACCGAGTCCATGTTTAGAGGGTTTCCAATGGCACCTGCTATGTAGCTAAGGCCCTCTCTCGAAAACAGTTCAAGAGGAACATTGAAGAGATGAACCCACAGAGGGATTTTTGAAAGATCAAAATAAAGTCGTTTAGAATTAGATTCCCATTTCCTTAGAATTAAAGGTTTATTCAATATATGCCATGACCCATTATGCAGTACCCAATCCCTCGTAGAATCATTGTTGAAAGAAAAAATGTAAAGATTGCTTCATGCGAAGCTTACCTGGACACGAACACCTTTAGACTGGTTATTCCACAAGCTTTCCACCATTCTTTGCATTGTTGTAAAATTGGGAGCGGCACCTAGTAATTGACCCACCAGGGATGAACTCCATTCAGCAATTCCAGTATCGTATATTTCTTTTGGTGGTTGGACGATAGGGATTGAGTCGCGAACATTCGGTGGGAAATATTGAAGCTCTTGTTCAGATTGACATCCAAAAAGCTTCCTTCATTCCATAACAATGAAGAGAAACAACACAAAGACAAGAAGGAAACTGAAAGAATCAAGAGTAGTCACTGGAGACGCTTGGGTTCTCAGATCCGTTAGACTTGCTAACATACACCAAAG